GGTCCATTAACAAGCTTGCATGAACAAGCTTCAACGACACCAATGATTCTGCTGCTAAAGCAGAAACATGGCAAATTGTCCCAGAGCAGCCTCCTGTCACCTCCCCTGTCCCCCGAGAAAACCGAACCCTTAAGCCAGGTTCCTGTGAGGGAGGCAGCCCGTGGTTCTGGTGCCGTGACCTGCTGAGGGGGAGAAGAGGTGGGCCAGAAATGCGCTGGGCCAAGAAGAAGCTGCTTCTGTAGCCAGCGACAAAGCTCATCCGATGGGATGAACAGATCCCAGGTGCTGCAGCTCTTGCCCAGTTCTCAGGCAGGTTTTCACAGTGAGCAGAGCTGAAGAGGGTGCCCCTGAGAAACACCCGGGAACTGTGGAGGCCACTGGAGATGTGGGGTCAACAACACCTTCTGGTGAGGGAGCACAGGGCACCCAGGCCTGAGTCGAAGCTCCGAGACAACTGAAGCAGCAAGGTAAGGCCTTAGGGACTTGGTGACTGAATTTGGAAAGAAGAGGCATGAAAATAAAATGCCAATGACAGGTATACGAGAATGCATGGGCTTGAGAAAGAGGGTGAGCGCACATGGATGCGGAAGGCCTGCAGAGGTCTGGGTGGTTTGGATGAATATTGATACGTCTGTCAGGAGTAGAAAATGTAGTACTACTGCCCCTAAAGCATTTGTAATGTATGTATAAACCATATATTTGTTGCCTTAGACTGAGGCTAGAGGAAAGATGCTGCACTACCTCATCTGCTGCAGGGCAGGGCTCTGCAGACGTGTTTAAACAGGGCTCTCAGGGAGACGAGTGCACCTTGGGTGCGTGAGAGAGCGGGAGGCACCGGTATGGAAATGTGAGATGGTGGGGCTAGTGTCTTTTGAGAACTGGCCACTGGTTAGTGGGAATACCTTTAGGGAGAAGAGGCTGAAGTGAAAATCGGTCACACACCTTATAGGATGGACGAAAAGGGCCAGAAATTCTGGATCGAGAGAGAAAAAAAAATGGATATTTGGGATTTCCGTAAAATTCAGGCCTGGGCAGGACTAGCCAGCAGAAGCTCTTAGTATCAGAACCTCAGCTCTGGTGGCCCTGATTTCTCACAAAATCCCATTTTGGCAACTCGCCTTCCTTTTGTAACCCTTGTCTCTCACAGATACCAATTCTGAACGGGCTTGGGGGTGGCTCTTTAACCCACCTGCAGGAGGGTTAGGGTGCCGAAAGCCTGTGTTTCTAACTGAAGACTTGAGTCTCAGTTCCTGTGGCCTGCATTTTCAAAGACTCAGTCTAACTCATTCTAAATTAACTCACCAGGCAACAGACTATGAAATCGGACGTGACCGATTGATCCTTGGGCATTGATTCAAAGCGAAACTAATGGAATGTAAAGAAAATGTAAGAATCTATTGTAGTGTAAAGGCTGCCTGTTTAGCCATTTTACAAAATAAAATTTCATTTGGGAGCTGGGTGGAGGCGTAATGTTTGAAGAACCGACTAAAACAAGGCATAGGGACATCGCAAACTATTGCTGTACAGATTGAGCCTTGAGGGAATGGCTTGGTTAGATGTCACTGACTAAAATAATTGCATGATAATTTTGACTAGAGGCACCATCCTATCATCTGATGATTTTTAAACCGTGCATGGGTAGTTTAGACTGAGTGATCTTGGCATCCAGCTACAAAGAACCGAGAAGTCCGCTCAGCATACCACGTCCATGCTTTGGCTCTTGGAAAAAAAAAAAAAAAAAGAAGATGTCCAAGAACTGTGGAAGGAAGGTCTCCGAGCCATAGCGGTCAGCAGCGCTGCGTGCTCCTTCTGCAATGCTCTAAGATAGACTAACCAGGGGCGTTCTCCTAAGGTAAGCAGCAGAAAAATAATTCTTCCTAGGGCAGTACAGAGCAGGCAGGTCCCTGTCAGGCTCGAAGCAATGCGAATTAAACCCAGGAATATTTGCATCTTAGTGTTTAACTTTTTCTGACAAGAAATTTGAGATTTCACTCTGCTTTTTCAAATCACAGCTGATGAAAACCTGGCATAAATTTAAAATAGCAGTGATTTGAATAGTGGCAAATGATCAAATGAACTTTAAAATAAAGAAGTAACAAAACAGGAAATAAAGATACTTCCTCCAAGAGAAATTGTGGATTTCCATCTGGTGCTAACTGATTACATGCATGCATTTTTGTTGTTTGAAATAACCGTATAAAAATGTTTGGACAGACACAAAGGTAGTCAGATGTTATAATGAAAAATGTCTCAAGTAGGTACTATCTATACTAAAAATGGTTTATTTCTAGTGTAGTAGGCTAGTATACTAGAATTTCTTGTCTACTAGTAGACTGGAAATAATGATATTGTTCATATTTGAGATTACTCTCTTACAATAAACTGAAATTACTGTTACGCAGAACACAGATAAGACCAGGGAAGGGAAAGATGGGAAAATTGGAAGCATGTTGCTATGACAAGATTGTAAAGTAGGTTTGGATGATTTCTTAGAAACTCCAGCTTTCGCAGCTCTAGACTAACTTCTTTATACACAACCTTCACCGTGTCAATGTTTATCCTGTGGTTCTACCAGTGAAGATTTGAAGGAAAATGTCTTGCTAGAATAAGCTCACTTAGAGAGGGGATTAGACCGCTCCTACAGTGACTCTGCCCTGTTGGCTGTTACAAAGGAAAGGTGAAGATATGTTGTTAGAAACAACATAAGAAACAAACATCTGTAGAGCCAGAGCGATATGTTTATACTCTTCTTGTCTACTCTTCTCTTCCCCCGAATGGTTACATTCACTTTCTGTTCCAAAACAGGCAATGATAATTCCAGCTGGTAGAGGAAAGCTAGCATTTCATCATTGGGATTAAAACATGGCTTGTTTCCCTTTTATTCCTGCATTTACTTTTTAGCATCTCAGTTGGGGTGTGGGTTATGGGTTTTTTTGTGGAGTTTATCAATTTCAGCGAGGGATCAGCCATTCGCAAGGCAGCAAATATACCCACAGCTCCTTTGCTTAACTGTTGCGTTGCCGTCATTCAGTCATCTTTCAGGGGAAGGGGCACAGAGCAGTCGGCAAGTGTCACCCACTTGTACTTGGCCTCTTGCCTACTCTGGGTTTGGGAGCTTGCTCTATGTAAACCTCTACTTCTCGCTTTACTGAAGGTGAATATTCCGTATCAGCAGAGCTTGGAAAAAGAGGTTCGACATTGTTAACCTGAGATGTAACATTTTCCAGCAAACTTTTCAATATATCAACATCTTTACACCCACCCAACCTATGACATTGCAACAATTTGATATCTGCTCTGAATAAAATCCATATGAAGTCAGAAGGAAGATCTGACATTGTTCTTTAAAGATGAAGAAAATGGACTACAATAATTCTTGCTGACTTTTTTCATATATCTTATTTCAATGATAGACATGGGAGGGAAGGAGTGGGGAAAGCAGACATTCCAGGTGTATCACAGCACCTAAGAAACTGTTTGACTAGCTAAGTTTCCTCAACCAGTTCCCTGTATCAAAAGGGAAATTCATTGTGAAAATTCAAATTTGCAGAGGAAAACCAAATCCCAGAAATGTAGCAATAAAGTCTGTAGGATGCTATGCAGAGAAGGACTGCATTGTTGGTTACAACTGAAAATCTTTACTTGCAGCGTGGATAAATACAGCCTCCAAGCAGAGTTGTACTACATGGGATCAGATCATAAACCATAACCAAGCTAATTTGATAATGGTGATATCACCCAGCTGTGCCGGCAATTAAAATTGTGTAAGATTTTCAGTACTGCAACCAGCCACTCTCAAAAAAGCTTAGAAATTGCACTTTACTAAAGGTTGTGGTTTAGCGGAATTTGGGAAGTTTTGAAAGTACGGTAGCATAAAAAAATTCAAGTGCAAACCCTAAGGTAGATATGATACCAGTTGCTTTCAATATTTTATTACCACGTTAGCAGAAAAAAATTCCAGGGACACGGCACCAAACGTGCGGTGCATTCAGAAATGAACAGACAAATGCCTTACATTTCAATTCCCCACGTTACCTGAAGCTCCTGAATAGTTTCTAAAGAAGTGGCTTGGAAATCAAGCATCTAGCAGCAGAACGTAGATCAGTTTGCTGGTGAGTCAAAGAGATTCTGGGAAAGAGGTAGTTAAAAAGATCATTTCACACTCACAGCTAAAAACCTCCACTCCATTACATAATCCCTGTTTTATTTATCTCGTGTGTTGAAATTTATAATTAAGACAAAGTCTTAGTGATTCAATAAGACTTTAAATGCATAAAATTAAAGATATTTATCTTACAAGAACTCTCAGTTTATTAACATTATCCTAGAACTGAGACTATTTACAGAGATACAGCTATGTGTAAATTAGCTATGTATTTGTAGTTCTAGGAATCCAAGCAAGAAAATCGTGGATGGTTACCCTGGTAGATGGGAAAATATTGCATGGATGGCACTAATAATGCTACTACCTTGGGGTACAAAATGAAACATTTTTCTGTCACAGTTCTAGCATACTTCTCAAAATTTTATCCAACAAATGAAAGCCATGAGTGTATATATTATTTAGTTGTTTTTCACCAAAACTATGGCAAAGCCACAGACAGTAGAATGGAGTGGGTGTAGAATTAAACTATAGTTGGTAAAAGATTTGCAAAGTGAAAAAAAAAAAAAATTGTTTTCTTTCCTAGCAGGAAGAGAACAGTGTAAAACTGTAGGCAGTTAAGAAGTACTGTGGCTTGCAGCTGAAATCAATCTCTCTTAAGCTTAAAATAATCTCGCATTTGCATCTTTCACCAGTAATCATAAAGTCTGCCTTCCACTAAAGACCTATTAAGTAGAAAATAATGATGAACTTCTAGGAGATCTCCTGCTATTGGAAGAATGTATATGAGAGATCATTATTTAAAAAGAAAAAAAATTGAAAAGGACCATTTCCCAAAGAATTCCAGTACTGTACTAAAATAACATCATTTTTGTAGTTCAGATATGAACTTCTGACCATGGGGGACTGGAACCTGTTGGGCAGCATCCTTGAAGAAGTGCACATCCACTCCACCATAGTTGGCAAAATCTGGCTCACAATCCTGTTCATTTTCCGGATGCTGGTGCTGGGAGTGGCTGCCGAAGACGTCTGGGACGACGAGCAGTCCGAGTTCATCTGCAACACGGAGCAACCTGGCTGCAGCAATATCTGTTACGACAAAGCCTTCCCCATCTCTTTGATCAGATACTGGGTGCTGCAGATCATATTTGTCTCTTCTCCATCGCTAGTTTACATGGGCCATGCGCTCTACAGGTTAAGGGCGCTCGAGAAAGAGCGACAGAAGCGGAAAGCCCACCTGCGGGCTCAGCTGGAAGACCTGGAGCCCGTGCCTGAGGAGCACAGGAGAGTGGAGAGAGAGCTGCGTAAGCTGGAGGAACAGAAGAAAGTGAACAAGGCACCCCTGAGAGGGTCCCTGCTGCGCACCTATGTCCTACACATCCTGACCCGGTCGGTGCTCGAAGTGGGCTTTATGATAGGTCAGTATCTTTTATACGGGTTTCACATGTCCCCCCTTTACAAATGCACTCGGCCCCCTTGCCCTAACACGGTGGATTGTTTTGTGTCCCGACCCACAGAGAAGACCATCTTCATGGTTTTCATGAACAGCATCGCCGCGGTCTCCCTCTTCCTCAACATCCTAGAAATCGCCCACCTGGGCCTCAAGAAAATCCAGAAGAGCCTCT